TTCTTATTGGATCAACTATCAACACTCATGGAAGCAGCAGTCAAGAAATCAAACACATATTGCATTAGGTAAATCTGCTGCACAAGTCCTTTTTAAAGTGTTGAAGAGCAAAGATGTCAGCTTGAGGTCTAAGGTGTGCCTGACCCAAGCCATGGTATTTTTAATAACCTCTTATGCATGCGAAAGCTGGACAGTGAATAAGAAAGACCGTAGAAGAATCGGTGCCTTTGAGTTATGGTGTTGGAGGAGAATATTGAAAGTGCTACAGGCTGTCAAAAGAACCAATAGATCTGTTTTGGAAGAAGTGCAGCCAGAGTGCTCCTTGGAGAGCAAGATGGCCAAACTTCATCTCTTTGGCCATACTGTCAGGAGTGACCAGTTGTTGGAGAAGGATATCATGTTTGGTAAGGTGGAGGGACAGAGAAAAAGAGGAAGACCCCCCAACAAGATGGACTGGCCCAGTGGCAGCATCTATGGACTCAAGTGTGGCAACAGTAATGAGGTTGGCCCAGGATCGGGCAGTGTTTTGTTTTGCTGTGCATAAGGTTGCTATAAGTTGGTACCGATTCTATGGCACCTAACAACAACAACAACAACAACATCAGTTGCTTTTCACTTCATCTGGAATTTCTTTTAAAAGCTCAGAAATAAGAAAGTAATGAAGAAAATGAATTTATGAATGTGGACTGCTTGGAATACCCCTAAAACAGTTCTTTCTTTCCATTTGCTGGCATGAATAAAGACTCTGGCTAAAATGATGACCATTTACATTTTGAGGATACCAAGTCTACTACTAGATAATGGCATTCTGGTGTGGTGCTGTGGGTTAACGTGGTGGACTGCTAAGTTGGTATGAACCACAAGGTCGGCGGTTCAAGCTCACCAGTGACTCCTTGGAAACTCTATACAGGGTTGCTATGGGTTGGAATCAATTCAGAGGCACTCAACAGGAATTGTAGTAATATTCTATGATAATCAGTATATGTTAAAAAAACACTCTGAAGGTGTTTTAAAAAAAAAAATTACTAAGCAGCCACATATCAAAATTTGGTTACACCTAGCTTGCTATACAGGAGGAAATAAAAGAAGGGCCTGTTTTACTCCTCTTTTAAAAAGAGAAAGTAGAAAGTTACCTTCTGATTGGAAACATAAAGGTAGGCTATTACTCTCTCAACAGCATAAAGCCATACAGAGCTCTCTTCATTCTGTTTCTCCTGCATGGGAGGAGGGAAATAGATGCTCAGAAAATAGAAATTAAAAGTAAAACAAACTATCTGTCTCCTTGTTTGGATTCAAAGGTTTCTTAGTAGGAAAAAACCCAGAATTGAGCTATAAAAAAGATTAAAATGACTCTTGATGTGAAGCACTTGGAAACCCTAGAAAGATGCTCACCAACAGAAAAATATTTTACTTGAAATCAGAAAAGCAAAGTATAAATATGAGCAAGAATCAGATCTGTACATATAGAATCATCATTGCCAGTAAACTATGAACTACATGACAGGGTTTAAAAATGTTAGTGGGAAAATTCCATTATTTTTAAATTCAATTTTCCACAAACTTTTTGCAGTCCCCTCATATATGATAATATATAAAAGAGAGGTAATATCAGTAATAAAGCATGGTATGGGCACAGTAATAAACCCTGTATTGGGTTGCTATGGGTTGGAACCAACTTGATAGCACTTAACAACAACAAAAAGTTATACTTTACCTTAATATAATGCATTTTTTTAGTGAAACATATTTAAATAATTGAATTGTACATACATATACATAAAGAATAAAAAATGCAGAATGGTGGCAGGGTACTTGCAGTTTCCAGATTATAAATGAAGTTCATTCCTAAAAGTCTTTATGTTGAATCTATATGTAAATTAGAACTTAGGTATGACTACTACCTAAGGTGTTACTCCAAGTTTTGTCTTAGTATACAGCATATTTCTATGTATAAAAAAATTATTTAAGAAACACTTCGAGATATACTAAAATATCTTTTGTTGTTGCTAAGTGCTGTTGAGTTGGTTCTGACCCATTGCGACCCTGTATAGGGTTTCCAAGGAGTGCCTAGTGAGCTTGAACCACCAACCTTGTGGTTCAAACTGACTTTGCAGTCCAGCGTATTGGCATAGTTTTATTTTTTAAAGTAATAAAAGAATATTTTGACATGTGTTACAAAGCAGTGCCCTTTTGTTAATTGTTGTTGTTGTTAAGTACTGTGGTGTCGGTTCCGACTCATAGTGACCCTGCACAGGGTTTCTTTGCGGGAGCAGAATGCCTCATCTTTTTCCCGCGGAACTGCTGGTAGTTTCAACTGACGACCTTGAGGTTGGCAGCCTGACTCGTAACCACTATGCTACCAGAGCTCCTTTTTTATTAATTATGAACCATTTTATGTACTGAATACTTAATATAATAGTTCTTCGAGGGGTCAGGTTGTATCAAAGTTTGGCATTACTAACCTAGGAATTACCCATAATAGATTACATGTTATTTTAAATATTCCATAATATTGTTACATAGTCTTCCTAATAAAAAAAAAATGGGAGTAGGGAGGCAAATAATATGGTTTACTTAAAATGTCCTATTTGGTTTGGTTATTTTTATAAAAAGCTTATTTATATTAAAATCCTTCTAAGTCTCAAGAAAAACCCGGATTTTCTAAAACAAACAATAGAATAAGCTAAGCATGCCACCTGTTTAGACAAATAAAATCAAGTTTGAGAGCAATGAAGATGTGACCCAGTAACCTTGATGGCTGAAACTGAAGGGAACTTAAAATACTGCAATTATAATCCTGGTGATACAGCTTTACCAACAGTGATGTACAAAATCACGCATACACATACCAACACAAAAAAGACAGCAGTAAAATAAAATACTGAAGGAAAGTACATATCTAAACACTAAGTAGTAATTCTAATTCTACCTAAATCTTTTTATTAAAATCTAAAAAACAAAACTCATTTTTCTTTACTCTTCAAAAGTAAAATCACAATTATCCAAATTTATATAACCACCAAGCACATTTGTGTAAATACCTTAACATATTCTATACCACATTCCATGTCAAAAGAGAAGCAAAGATTTGAGAGTTTAAAAACAAAACTCAAAACCTATTAAAAAAAATCTCTTTCATTATAAAAAGAAATAAAAAGTAAACTATCCAGGATAAGAAATATGTCAACTCTAGTTGAATAGCAACAACAACAAAAAAACTAAACAACTTTCCTGAAGGAAATATACTTAAACAATATTTTTGAAGTTCAAATTTATAACAAAAATTAAAAATTTTAAATATTCTTTAGAATACTAAAATCTTATGAAATTATCAGAATTACATTTGTTTGAAGAAATAACAATTCCAGTGTTTAAATAGGATTATAATACCTCGTAGGGAAGGATAATTATTAACCAAGAAAACTCTGAAAAACAGTAATAGAGACTTGCTGTGATGGATAATAAAATTCATTATAAAACCATAGTAATTCAAGAATAAGAACAAATATATGGCACATCAGTAGAAAGGAGTCAAGAAAAAAAAAAAAAAAACAAATATATGCAAGAATTATAGTGGGTAAATTTTAAAATGGTAACTTTGTTATCTGGAAAAAAACCCAGAAACTTACTTCAGAATATTTAACAAATCTGACAATATTGGTATAATAAATTTAAGAGAAAAAATTACAAATAGATATCAACAAATGCCAAAGACTTAATATAGTGGTGAAATGTCTGTAAGAAACATGGATATTGTCAAAGAATAACCTGAATAATAAAATCAGTACCAGATAAACGTATTTTAAAAGGAACAGCAGTGTTTTTGAAATGCATTATCAAGTAGCCATGGAAGTTTTCCTTTGATCAACGGGGGAAGGGGAGCTGGAAGGAATAAAGGTAGGGAAGAATATGCCAAAAGGCGTGCTGCCCTCAAATAGGATAGCACCTTCTTCATGGTTTAACATGCTTGGAATCCTTAAGAGAATTTTTATTTCAATAAAATGGTTGTTGCTTTTTTGTGTTTTTCAATTTGAAAATCTCTGCTAGAATACTTAGTAACACTGGAAAATTTCAGTTTTACTAAAAACAGAATTAATTTCTACTCATAATTCACTATGTTACTTTTTAGAAAGGGAGTGTATGAGTAAATGTCTAGAAAAGATTGAAAGGACTGAAATCGTCACATCTTACAAGTAGCCCTCTTTCAACTGTTAGAATTATGAGTGACCTTTACATACTTTTCTATAAACTTCTTTGGACATGAAATACCTAATCACTCATTTTCAAAAACTCCTAACAAGTAATTTTACTGGGAAACTTACCTTTTTGGGCTTTAGCTGTTATTTCAAAATATTTGACAGTAAGATCTTGAATAGAAAGCACAGCCATGTGAGCTTTCCGCTGCCAATCAGCATCTTCTTTCTGAAGACTCTCAATTCTTCGGGGACCCAGATAGTCATTCTCCATGGAAATCTTCATAGATAGAAAAATTAAAATGAAGACATTTCTTTCTTTCTTTTATAATTTCTTAAAGACGTATTGAATATTTATGTGTCAGGCAATGTTCTTAGTGCAAAAATAGACAAAGAGAATACCCATTCTTCCTTGTTGTTATGTGCTGTGGAGTCGGTTCTGACTCATAGCGACCCAGTACAGGGTTTCCGAGGCTGTAAATCTTTATGGGAGCAGAAAGCCTCATCTTTCTCCCGCGGAACAACTGGTAGTTTTGAAAAGCTGACCTTGCGGTTCGCAGCCCAATTCATAACCACTATACTATCAGTATGGGTCAGGCAATGTTCTTGGTGCGAAAACAGACAAAGAGAATATCTAGTCTTTCTTACTGTACAGTAAATCACTGCCTACCATGCCATTAACTTACAAAACAAGTGAATTAACAATGATGTTGAAGACATCTGACATATATTTCTGCTCATGCATGTGTGTGTGTGTGTGTGTGTGTATACACATATATATACACACACACGGAAAACCAAGTTACAAAATAGTTTTCTCCTATTCCTTCTATCCCTCCCTTCTTCTCTCATATTGTATGTACATATGCACACTCAAAAAAGGGTTAAGTCGCAATGTACTGCTACTAGAGTTTCAGTTCATACATGAATGGGTGTATTACAAGCAACATAGTTAAATATATCTCTGCAATCAGTGGATGGCTGTAGATAATTTCTCTAAGAAATATATCTGTCTTAGTCTTGCTGTGGTGCCTTCTAAAAAAATAATGTCCGAAGACTTCTGAGGGGATCTGGTAAATGAACGCTCTGAAACCAAAATAAAACATTAATCGTTTGGATATGTAACACCCATGTTTCTGGTGTGGTGCTGTAGGATCAGCACAGGAATGTGAACCACAAGGTTGGTAGTTCAAACCTACTAGCTGCTTCTTGGAAGCTCTATCTAGGGTCGCTAGGAGTCGGCACTAAACAACAAGGAGAAAGTTAACATTTGATTTTAGTCTTAAAGCTACAAACAAGAGAGTAATCCATGTAGAGGATAAAATATATGATCAAAGCATTTAGTAAGCATGGTACCCTGCACACAGCAATCAATTTATTAGCTGTATTAAGGGGGGCATTAACAAAGCAAGGGGAAAGGTAAATTATAACAGCTGTGCATGAAAGTGCTCTTTCCTCAAAAAGTAAACAATGGAGAAATAGACTTTACAGGATAGAAGACCAAAGATTTTGTTTTGTATATGTGTATGTTGAATCATCAGAAAGAGGTTCATGATTGTGTCATGAGAAATTCTGGCACTGATTAATTAAGTGACACCTGTAGAAACCAAGGCAAAGCAAGGGGAAAACCAAGAAAACATAAAGTCACAGAGCAGCAAGATTCAAAGGAGAACTCAACTTTGTCAAATGCTGATTAGAGGTCAAGTAGTATGATGAATACTACCTATGGACCTAACAGTATGAAGATCATGAAATAGCATTAACAAAAGTTCTACAGTAACAGGTAAACTCCCTTTTCATTTTAATTCCCAAGGCATCTTCATATCTCAGCTCAATTACTATTTCAGGGAAATCTGCAATAACTTTTTGTTATAAACTCTCAGAGCAACACATATACCTTTCCTTCACAAGAGTTACCACAACCATAATTTACATTATCTATGAACTTGTAAAGCAGTCACTTCCTTGTCTGTAAGCACACCACAAGTTTCAGAGACTAAGTTTTTTTTTTTTTGCTTTTCACTAACACACTGCAATCTAAAACACTTAATTTTTATTCATTCCTAATGAATGAAATAAAAATGAACAAAAACATATCTTGAAAAACTGAAATGGATACAAATGAAAATAAAGATGTAGTTAAATGTATAAATACTCTTCTGAGAAATTTAATTATGTTGGAAAATAAGACGTAAAAAAGGACAAGGTGTGGCACTGTAGGATAAGCACTGTACGGAAAGGTAGGTTTGAAGTACAAGGAAGGCGGTTCAAACTCACCAGCTGCTCCTCAAAAACCCTAGACAGGGTCACTATAAATCAGAACCAATTCTACAACACTTAACAACAACAATGTGGTATTAAGGGAAGACCTTTCACTTTTTCTGTCTTCTTTTTTAATAGAAGATCCTAGAGTTGGTTGAGTGGCAATGGGTAGCATCTAGCAGAGGGAGAATCTTAAGTTACAGGAAAGAGATGAGGCTAATTTAAAGTAGGCGATGGGAAGGACAGGAGCCTGAGCACTACTGTTAAGATTTGCTTTTGGTAGATGAGGAGCACTTAGTCCACAGGCTCAAATAAATGCAAATTTTCAGTGTGCCAGAGGAAAGACAAGGGAATTCCTGTTTGGTGAGTTTCCATTTCCCCCTATTAATAAGAGGAAAGTTAAGAGTAAGTTAGTACAGATGACAGAAGTAAAGACATGAAATAGCTGCTCTGGATGATGGGGCAATAAACTATTTAGAAATACCCAGTATATTAATATTAAAAACAAATGACTTTCTAGGCTGCTGTTGTTTTGGTTAAACAGGTCCACACTCATATACTGCTGTGGGGGCTGTAAATGAGTACAAACGTTTTTTGTAAAGTATTTTATGATATCTTAACACTGGCTGCATTCTTAGTTTTCTAGTGCTATCACCACCACAACAGAAATACCACAAAAGTGGTTGGCTTTAAAAAACAAATGCATTCTCTCATAGTTTCTAAGGCTAGACATTTGAATTCAGGGCACAGGCTCTGAGGGAAGGCTTTATCTCTATTGGTGAAGGTTCTTGTCTCTTTTCAGTTTTTGTTCCTAGATTCCTTGGTGATCTCCATGTAACCTGATATCGCCTATCTTCCACAATTCCCCCCACCCCAGATGTGTGCCTAGTTTTATATCTCAAAGGTGACTGGCTTAAAACACACATGTTATGGACTCATTAACATACCAAAGGAAACTCTGTTCCTAAATGCAATTGTATCTACAAAGCACAGGAGTTATGTTGTTTTGTTACTTACCATGGAGTCAGTTCCGACTCCTAGTGACCCTGTACAAGGCTTCCGAGACTGCAAATCTTTATAGGAGCAGGAAGTCTCATATTTCTCCTGCGGAACGGCTGGTAGCTTCAAACTACCGACCTTAATTTTAAGGTTAGCAGCCCAATTCGTAACCATGTAACATGAATATTTTTCAGGGGCCCAATTCAATTCCTAACAAAAAGTTTAGTAATCAATGATATTTACTGAAATATTGTTTGAAATAAAGAAAAATCTAGACCCCAGATACCTGATAAAAAGTCATGTGTGGTATACTCTCAAAATACAAGTCTATAAAATAATTAATAATGTTCACCAAGATGTTTTAACAACACAGTACAATGCATATAAGGAGCTTGGAGGCATAGTGGGTTACGTGGTAGGCTGCTAACTGCAATGTCAGCGGTTCGAATCCACCAGTCGCTCACTGGGTGAAAGATGAGACTTACTACAGCCTTGAATCAGAACCCACTGGACAGCACACAACCACTACCACCACCAAAATGCATCTGCAATCATATTAACTTAAACCAAGAAAAAAAATCATGGAAATAACTTCAATTTCAAGGAAAAAATGCCCAGAAAACAAAAAACCCAAGTCTATGTCAAAAAGTATTATTATTGATGTCATTTTTTGGTAGCAGGTAGTGGACTATGGGTAATATTTCTTTCTGTTTACAACCTCCCATGCTTTCCAGATTTTCTTTATTGGACATATAATATTGCTCTTATCATTATTTCAAACAAAAAAAAAAAAAAAAAAAGCCATGATTTCTTCTTGGGTTCATAAATCATACCAATAAGACAGGCTGAAGACACATGATCCCAGAGGTTTCTACCAAGCAAACAATGAGCTCATGTTTTCATATATGTGGCCTAATAAAAAACAAAATTATGAGTTACCTCTTTTTTTCAGTGTGTGGGGGAGGAAAGGGACATGGAGATATTGTCAGAACATAAAGATCTCCCTTAATGCTTTGGAAAACAAAAGCATTAAGTTCATTGCATGAACTGAGATGATAAAAAAGTGTCAAACAAAATTGAGCAAGTAATGGCAGTTTGGATTCTTTAATACCTGAGTCCTTAATCATCTGGACTGGATTTGTTTTAATTCTTAGTAGATGATTATATCTCCACAATCTCATACACTTGACAGTTGTCAAATGTTGATGCTGAATAGGGTTGAAACCTCCTCCCCCCACTCCCATTTAGACTTCCCCACCACTAATATCTGGAAATCATCTCAATTGTGTAATTTAAACAAAGACATCACTGTGCTACATGCTCCAAGGTATACAAGTCTAAGTAAGATACATCTTTTCCTACCAGGAAGTTTACAATAGGGGATGTTAGTGGCTAGACATACCTGGGATGTGGAAACGTTTTGAAATGAAGAAATCTGGCTCTGCTACTTAACTAGCTGTGAAATTTTTGAAAGATGCCTTAACATTCAATTGTTCATTCAAAATAATGATGCATTACATACCCACTGGGTGCCTATTTCGTGCTAGGCAGAAGAAGTAGCAAGATATTCAGCCTAATAAGAGGGAATCAACACCCAGTGAACAATAACAGAATATGAAAAAATGTCATGACATAGGTTATGCCTAGAATATTGTTGGAACATTAGCTTTGGGAAGTCAACGTGCATGATCTAAGTAGACTTTTTTGAAAGAATGATGAGTATGCAGAGTTTTAAAGAACAAACAAAATTTCAGATAAGTTTTGAAGATAGTGCAGAGTGTGTCTGGTTAAAAAGAATATAGGTATTTTAAGATCTTACAGAAAAATAAAAGGTATGAACAGTTTAGACAGGACAGGCTTCACTGAAGTTCATAATTATGGAAGGCTTTCAAGGAGAGGTGGGATTTGGGCAGGCACAAAAGGAATATATGGGGGAAGTGCATCACCGTAAAAGCATACTGGTGGCAAGAACCCAGGTGAGCAAAAGCCTAGACGTGCATGGTAAGTGGCAATTACATG